CTTTAAATAGTATATTAATGTATTATAATATAGTTATAATAAAGAAATCATTCAGCCTTCTGAACTGGAGTCAGACATCAGCATTTCTGCCCACCAGGCTCACCTGCATTTACAATTGATGAGCTGCTGCAGGCTGGAGATGTTCGAGTGTGGGAAGAGAAATGGGGAGAGCTGTGCAGGCTCCAGCCTCACTGTCCACTCCTCATAGCAGGAATCTCCTTCCCTTCACAGTCATGGGATGGGGACTCAATCACAGCACTGGGCTTAGCTGGGGATTTTAAGATTTCTAAAAAACAGGGAGTGAAAAGTGTTCATGTGCATGAAAAAGAGAAGGAGAGACCTGTGAATTCTGGAAGGCACTGCCTGTGGAAAAGATACACCCCAAGCCTTTGGAACCTGGCAAAGCCCCTTGAGGAGAAAGTGGAATTTTCCCTGCATAAACAACAATGGTTTTATGTGTTTAAAAAAAAGGGGAAAAAAATTTGGGAAGCCAGGAGGCATAGAGCCCTGATGAGGAAGAAAAGGAGCATTGTGCACAGGACATTGGGGGAACTGTTCCAAACCAGCCCATCCTTAGGCAGAGATGTCCCTGCTGGCTCAGCAGTGGCTCAGGGAGGACTGGCTGTGGGATGGGCAGTGTGGGAGAAGGGGATTTGGGACTCACTCCTGGCTTCAGCAAGAAGCGTGTTCCTGGCATCTCCCAGGGCTGGCACTCAGGATGGGGAAAACAAACAAACAGGTCTTGTTCAAAGGCATGTAGGAGGAATGATATTTCTCTTGGAAGAGCTCCTCTTCTTCCACAGGGAAAAAAAAAAAACAAAACAAACAAAATAAAACCAAACACACCAGCAAGCACCCTGCAAGAAAATGAGATCTTCCTGTGAATGGCAGGAAGCTAAATGGGAGAACTGCATCTGCTGGATTAATCTTTGCCTTCTGTCAAGAGAAAAAAGGAAAAAGACAAAGAAATGAAATTTGATTCAAGATACAGCAGGCCAAAGACAGGCAGCCAAGCAGGAATGGCTTTATTTAGCTTAAGAATCATAGAATGATTTGGCTGTGAAGAGACCTTAAAGCTCATCCAGTTCCAACCTCCTGCATGGGCAGGGACACCTTCCACTATCCCAGGCTCAAACGTCCAGAGGAAGGAGAAGGGGAATTATGCTCACTGCACCGGACTTTTAACCTGCAACTATTTCATGGAAAACACTTTCCTTCCTTTCTGCACTTCACTCAGATGGTGAAGGTGGGAGGTGGGCTCTGGAAACCCTCCTGTGGCAGAGCAATCCCACCCCAGACCATGCAGGTGTGTGAGGTGTACACGGAGCAGCTCAGGAGCTGTGGCTCCATCCCTGCCCTCCTTGGCCTCAGGAGGATGAGTCCAACCCTGGTTTTCCAGAAGGAAAGACATGGCCAGCAGCTTTCCAGAGGGATTGCAGGTTTTACCCCTCTGTGTGTTGCCTTTGGCCCCAGGGATGGAAGCCCAGGGATGATCCAGCCCCATACTCGTTTGTGGTGGGATCTCCCTCCATTTCCAAACCACATCATTTTGGCTCAGCTTGCCCACCTCCCTCTGAGCTCTGGATTTCCCTCCCCAGCCCAAGGAATGCAGAGACAAACCTGTTTTCCCTTTTTGCTCTGCTCATAATGAAAGAAACAAAGAACAAACACATTTGGGGAATGCAGGCTTTAGAGGAATTGTATCAGGACTTTTGCATTTGCTCTCTCATTTTAAGTCATGATGCAGAAAACCATGGTAAACATCCTATATATGGGATTTTGGACAATTTTTCTAGGTATCTACACAGCAGCTGGGAAAAATATCTTCCAAGCCCCCCACATTTTGCATGTGCAGAGGTTTCATTCCATTTTGTTATACTTGCTACTTATATTTTGTTGAGTTCATCATTCACCTTGTTGTAAATGCCAAGAGAAGTAGAGACAGAAGGAAATGTCAAGCTCTGATGCTTCTTCTCCAAAGCACAGAATTACTTAATAATTCCTTTATTCATACCCAAAAACTTATCACTTGAAAATCTCAATTTGCACGGAGCAAATTATGCTGTTACTGACCAGCATATCTTATTTATTTTTAATAACTTCACTTATTGTGTGGCTGCAGAGGGCACATCACATGGCAAACACTGGACATGAGTTCCTGGCTACCTTTCCCAAAGGCTGTGAGCCCTGGGGTGACTTTTTCACTCTTTTGGCATACAGGGACACCTTTTATTCCCTCTTTAGCCTTTTGAGCATTCATGTGTCTGGCATATGAACGTTGCTGCAGTCACATGGTGCTGTGAACACAGGGGGTTCAACTTGTGCTTCACTTCACACAGAGAAACAAAGAGAAGCATGAGACACAGGATAAACTCACATGGCCAAGGTCTGGCAATCCTTTTACCCCGTCAAAATTTGGGTCATCCTTGAAAACGGCATCAAAAGAGCCATGGAAGAGATGAGAGCTAGAAACAGAAGAAGGGCTGAATCCTGCATCCATTCTTTTGGTCCTTGGCATATTGACAACCAGCAGGGCCAGAAATGCTGAGAAACCTCCAGGTTTGTAGATAATGCTGAGTAGGTTCAGTAACCAAATGCCAGAGTGCTGGTGAGGAAATCCAGGAGGACCTCACAGGACACAAAAAGGTGGCAGGTGAGCATCAATGTAGGTTAATTTAAAGAAATCCACCCAAGGAAAAATAACCCAAGCTGAGTGTATGTGAAGCTAAACTTGGAAATGGTAGCTACCAGAAAATGGATCGCTGACAACTCTCTGAAGTCATCAGCTCAGTGAGCAAGGACTGCCAAAAACCAAAAAAAGCATAAGGGTACAGATAAAACAGCTTTGTTCTGCTGCTGAGCACAGCACTGGTATGCCCTCACCTCAGAGCCTGGTGAGGTGCTGGTCTCCAGGGCTTGAGGACAAGTCAGTAGAGCGTGGTCAAGCAGGCTCCTTCCTTTTATACTGGACAAGGTGAGAAATCCCAAAGTTAGAAGGAAAAGAAACAGGCAGAGAATCCTTTCCAAGAGGCCAAGCACCGTGAGGGGATGTGGGTTCACTTGGGGAACCACCAAGGGAGTGGCCAGGTTTGCTCAATCCTCCTGCCACTGGTGCAGATAAAGGATGAAGCACTGGGGTGAGTGATCCATCATCTGCCCCATCCTCAGTCCTCCCCTGCACCCGGCTGTGGCACACAGCTCAGACTGAGGGTGAGTGTGAGAATAAGGAACAGCTGACAGATGTTTCCCAGAAAAGTCCCCTGGACACTGAGCATTTGTAGCTCACAGGTTTCCCAACCCAGAGGTGGTGTTTTACTTGGGATGGAATTCTACTTTTTTCTTTTTTTTTTTTTTTTTTTTTAATAATAATAATAAAAAAAAGCAAATACTTTGAAGTCAAACTCTGTTATTAGAGGTGATATGCCAGCCATGGGGAGGTGCCAGCTGCAAGACTTTATTTTGACTGCTGCCTCATGAGGAAAGCTGGCAGCTGGGAGCACAGGGAGGCATGTCCTGAAGAAGGTGAAGAATTCAGCCAGACTGCTTTCAACAGCCTCTTTGATGCTGGGTGGCTGAGAGCACAGAGCAGGGCTTTCTGTGTGTGCTGTGACAAAATATCCTTTAATGACTGGGTCACCCTGGGCTACAGCTTGAACCCCTGTGTGGACCCATTCCAGTGCAGGAGAGCAGGTTTTCATGGAATAGATCACACAAAACCACTGAGGTTGGGAAAGATCTCCAAATCATCGAGTCCCAGCTGTGCCCCATCCCCACCTTGTCCCCAGCCCAGAGCACTGCGTGCCACCTCCAGGGATGGGGACTCCACCACCTCCCTGGGCAGCCCCTTCCAATGGTTTTGCTTGGACATTTTTACTCCTTCCAATCACACTAGTGTGGGTTGCATGGATCAGGATACTTCTACTACCATGGAATTTCTTTTTTTCTGCTGGGGGAGGAAAATAAGCAACTTTCCTTTAGCCTCTAATTTGGAGCCTTCAATGATCACCCACGCAAGAGACAGCCATGGTTAAATAAAGAAACACTTCTGTGTTCAGGGAAAGAAGGCTGCAAATGGGACTTGACCAGGTTGAGAAGACAATTAGTGCTCAGCAGCCATGGTGTGAGACAGGGGGAATAAAGAAAATCTCACATTCATCATGACAGCCCATACTTTATTTTGATGCAGAATAAGTAACTCCCTCAGGATCAGGGCCACACGTAGCACTACCCCTTCCACGGCCAAGGGCTGGAAGGGGATAATCTTTAAGGTCCCTTCCAACCCAAACCATTCTATGATTCTTTTCCTTCACAAGGGCAAGAAAAACTAAGACTGAAGGACAAGGAAAAATAAGTCTGCAGCTGTTTAGGGCTGACCAGGGGGCCAACCCTTTCAACTCCTCCCCTTTAGAAAGGCCCATTCCCCAAAATACCCCAAGCCCATGGTTTTCACATGGTCAGTACACCAAAAGCAAGACACAGTTTGGTAGAAAGATCAAGAGGCTTAGGGGCCAGCGTTATTTAGTATCTCTATTTTTTACTTTTGAAATGTGTGGAAATGTTTCTGCATTTCCTGCTTCTCTGCAAGGAGGGAGGAAGGAGAGGATGATGGAGAGAGCAGGGCTCCTTTGCACAGGATAGGAACAATTCAAGCTAAACTTGTCTTCCCACCTGTGTTTTTCCATAGCTTCCCCCACCACTTTACACACTCCTTCACACCACAGAACTGTCAGTTTTCTTTCAGAGGCACAACACAAAGGTGTTAACTCAAATTTCTATCCAGAGAGTGTGGTTGCATCCATCTAGCTCAGCTCCAGACCAGCCTGTGCACTCTTATTTTCTCCAATAAGCCCTAAGCCTGGCTGGTTATTTTCTTTTTGGGTTACTTTTTTCATCCTGCAGCTCTTGAGGGTGGTGGCAGCAGAAAGGACACGGACTGAACCAACAAACAAACAAGGAAGGAACGCCTCTGAAACTTTCCAGATCGAAAGGCACACACAAAATTTTCTTTTCAAGAGGTTTTAATGAAGAGTCATATTTTTAAACCTCTCACACTGTACAACACATTTAACTGTACATCAAGCTCAGATAAAAAATAAAGCTTTCTTACAAAGTACGTTTTTCCAGTGATTTTTTTTCTTTTTTTTATTTTTTGCAGTAAAAATAGCTGCTACATAAAACCCTCCTGATCTTTGAAAAGGAGTCACAGTTATTTCCAAAAATAGAATTCATATTTTAGTCATACAGAATAAACTGCAGGAAGAGACAAGTGAACTGAAAAAATAAGGCTTGTATATAAATTTCTTTTTAAAAGTACATGCATAGAAGTTGAAAAACATATGCCATTTATAAAGAAAAAAAGGTAATTTTACCCATATTAATATTTTTATTTTTCAGTTAGAGAAGAAACCACAAACAGGCCCTTTTATGTCCCAGAATACACCATTAGTTTCCTGTAAAAATGCCAAAATGCACAAAGAATTGCCAACTTCAGTCCTGGCAAAATCCTGAGCCCGGCCTCCCCTCCCTGCCCGCCCCCCCCCCAATGCATGCACACTGAGCATAGAACTTCTGCTGTCTCTCAGGCCAATTAAATATTTGCAGAAGGTTGTATATCCTAGACAAACATGAACTGCCCCCCCACCCCACATCTGATAAGTTTACATTCATCCTATTCAAAACACACATACAATTAGTTTAATTTACACTATACAGTATCTGTTAAATAGGAACATCAGAGTTTCCAAAGGAATCACAGAGTATATACAAACTGAATATTGAAATGGTGTGATTTTCCTTCCCTTCTTTTAAAGGGTGGGTTTGTTTTTTTTTTTTTTGTTAACAGTTGCTACATTTGGTTTTGGACACGAGAGTGTTTATGTACCTATGCAGCACATTTCTGGAGTAGTAACAATAATAACAACAACAACAAAACGTGCTTTGAAACAAAACTAATACCGGTCTCCTTACTGCTCGCTTAAAATAAATTAGTTTGTTTTTAAATAAACTGCACGAGGACGGCGCTGTTTCAAAAACATCCCAGAGCCAAGAGCTCTGCGGCATCGCCGCTTTTTCGCAGCCAACCTTTGGTTTCACAGCCAACCCCATCCTCCCAGGGCAGTGCCAAAGCGCTTCGCAGGGCGGGGCGGGCAGCACAACGCCGAGCCCGGAGCACCCCCGTGTCTCCATCCAGGGCTGCGCCCGCTCCCCCGGAGCCCCGCCGAGCCCCGGCGGCCGCGGCCGTCCCGCTCCCCGCGTCACACAGTGGGGAAGGTCCCGCTCGGCCTCCCCCGGAGCGCGGCTCCGGCCATTGTCCCCACTGGCGGCTCCAGACGCGCAAGCCGGGCCTGGGATCAGTCCTCGGTGTCGGGCTGCACGCCCAGCATGGCGTGCAGCTCCTCGGGGGTGTAGCCCAGCAGGTTGTGCAGGTCGCAGACGAAGCGGTACACGTAGCGCTTGCCCGACGTCTTGTGGATGATGTTCTTGTCGTAGTAATAGCGCAGGCCCCGGCTCAGCTTCTCGTAGTTCATCTTGGGCTTGTTCTTCCTCCTCCCCCACCGCCGTGCCACCTGGCGGAAGGCAAAATCCATTCCAAATTTGTTACGACTCATCTGCTTCTTTGTGGCTGATTAAATAAAACCCTTCCTCAGTCACAGCAGTTTATTTGCTCTGGATGGCCCAACCTCACAAAAGAAGAGCTGGTGACTGACCCCACCAGAGACCTCAACAGCAGCTCAACCTCACAAGAGAAGAGCTGGTGACTGACCCCACCAGAGACCTCAACAGCAGCTCAACCTCACAAGAGAAGAGCTGGTGACTGATCCCACAAGAGACCTCAACAGCAGCTCAGCCTCACAAGAGCTGGTGACTGACCCCACAAAAGACCTCAACAGCAGCTCAACCTCATAAAACAAGAGCTGGTGACTGACCCCACCAGAGACCTCAACAGCAGCTCAGCCTCACAAGAGAAGAGCTGGTGACTGATCCCACAAAAGACCTCAACAGCAGCTCAACCTCATAAGACAAGAGCTGGTGACTGACCCCACCAGAGACCTCAGCAGCAGCTCCAGGAGAAGGTGGCTGACAGCAAAGGTCACCCATGGGAGATGGCCCAGCTGTCACCCAGAGTCAGACAGATTTTACTCCAAAAGACTTGAAAGGCGTGAGTTTCAAGCCCCGGAAATAATTTAACTTATAGGGAACTCTGAATCTCACCCTAAGCCTTTGGTGTTGTTATGCTAAGTTATCAAAGTTGTGCTCCCCTCTTGGTTACTTGTTTCCCCTCTGTGGCTATAGTTCTAGAATGTTCTACCCTCACATGTATAAATAAATAAATAAATAAATAAATAAATAAATTGCTTCCCCTTTATCTCAGGTCCTGGGATCCTGCCCCTCATACTGTGCTCCACGTTTGTTGTTTTCACCCTTTATTGAAAGTTCCTTTTGGGCAACTCCTTCAAACCTGCTCCTTCTCATTTTCATCACCCTTGCCCTGAAGTCAGGGAACCAGAGAGGTTTGTCACAGCCACCCTTGCTGCAACAGCCTCCAGTTTGTAGGGGATGGGCCAAAACATGTTTAAGGAGGCCAGGTTTATGGAGAAACCACAGAATATTCCAAGCTGGCAGTGTCCCACAGGGACCAAAGTCTAATTCCTGGCCCTGCACTTCACCACTCCAAGAAACACAGAATATCCTGAGCTGGAAGGAGTCACAGAACCAACCAGGCTAGAAAAGCCCTTTGAGATCAAGCCCAAGCCAACACCACCTTGTCATCCAGACCATGGCACTGAGTGCCACATCCAGTCCTGCCTCAAACACCCCAAGGACAGTGACACCACTACCAGTCCAGCTCCTGGCCCTGCACAGGATAAACCCACAAATCACAGAATGCCCTGAGCTGGAAGGGACCCACAAGGATCCAAGCCCAGCTCCTGTCCCTGCACAGACACCCCAACAATCCCACCCTGTGCCCGAGAGTTCTGCCCAAACACTCCTGGAGCTCTGGCACAATCTGCTCTCTCAAAAAACACTGTTTTACCATTGACTGGCTATCAGGCAGCAGGGGACAGCTCTACTGGAAGTTCAATGCTATGAAGTTCTTTGGAGCTCATTACTCCTCTCCCCTCTTTTCTCTTTTTTTAAATCTAGAAGTTTCACTGGACTTTTTACGCCATCTCTTAATACAACAATTTTCCTACTGGTAACAGTATCAGGAAATGAAAATGCATCACTTTTAATGAGTGAAGTTCCCAAAACACTTCAAAAGCAGCACTACCATATTTGATGCGATATCTATATCCAAGACTGTGCTCACAGATGTCAGATCAGACCCCAAAATCTTTGTTTTCACCCCAATTAGCCACATACCTCATCTGGGTCAGCAAGTTTAAATTCCCATCCATCTCCTGTCCAGCTAATGAATGACTGACAGGACTTGTCAGTCAGTAACTCCAGAAGGAATTGCCACAGCTGGATAGGTCCACTGCCTGTTGGGAAAGAGGAGACACAGAAAAACCACAAATTAATACCTCTGCCAGCTCTAACCACAACCAACGTATATGACCAGACTGGTATCACAGACCTAGTAATTAATCTGATTTATCTTTTTTATAGACCAGCAAGAAGCCTAAGGTTTTAATCTATAGCACAAATCTGCTATTACCCATGTGAAAATGAAGTCAGGTTTTTCATGGAAACAAAAGATTTGACAAAAATTATGGCTTTCCCTCTTGCATGGATCCTTTAACCCTCACTCCCACCTCCCAAACAGCTGCATTTTGAGCCCCAGGGCTTGTCCTAAAGTCTTGGCTTGGCAAAGAACCTACAGGAAAAATCCAATTTCAACAAGGACTACAGCAACAAGGCCTTAACAACACCTGTGGGAATTTTCAAATCTGGGAGGTTTTGTCCAAGCTCCCCTCTTTTTCAAACAGATCAAAAAGTGCATTTGATTTTTACTTGATCTGACGTGCCTGCTTGCTCTTGCTGTAGGTGGATAAACCCCCAGACTTAGTTTAGTAACATATAAAATTGAAATTCTTTGTGACTAGTGGTCTCTACCTCCTGTGGCACACATTTGGAGGGAACACTAACATTACATAGAAAACAGGAGTGACCATTCTGCCTCACCACTCACCAGTAAAGCCAGCCAGGATGGCTGCTGGTATAACTGGTTTTCCTTGCTCCACAGGATCACTCCTCTCCTGAATGTAGTCTTTGAAGGACATGGTAGGTTTGCTCAGGCACAGGGACTGGCTGCAGTCATCCTCAAAGCTCTCGTAGGATGGCACACGCTGCAAATCCACCAGGGAGGATTGGCTGTTCCAGGACTGCAGCATGGAATCCGAGCTCTCGTAGCTCTCGGCGCCACTGTCGCTGGATTCGTGCTCTCTCAGCTTGCCTTCATCCAACAAAACAATGAAATAAATCAAACAGCAAGTGAGGGTGGCTTCTTTCCCTCCCCCTCAATCCAGCCTGTCCATATAAAAATCATGCAGAGGCATTCAGAACGTGGCCTTGGCCCCGTGGTTATCGTGCAGGTAACGACTCACCGGAGTTGTCCATCAGCAAATTGAGATTGCTCCTTGGGAAATCTTGGTTAACTGCACAGTAGTTCACACCAACAGCATCTGCTTGGGTTTTTGGGAACAATGGGAAGTCTTGTTCTGGGTTGAGGAGACTCGGTGCCGTGGAAGTCTGACAGACGTCAGTCAGGAGACTGGGTTTGGGATAACTGAGGGGTTTAGGGTATCCAGGCATTTGCATTCCATAGGAATTCTGATCTACGTTAACAGCTGAAAAAAGAAACCAAAGAATTAGATGATTTTTTTCCCCTGGAGACCCTTAAACAAACTAATACACTAAATACACCAAATCAGATTCTGCAAATCTCCCTCTCGAACTTGCCAGCCACAAATGCCCATTGTTCACTCTTCAAGGAAACAACAGAAAAAACTGGGAAAGTTTAAGTGATTTTGAGCAAGGCTCTCCCCATTAAGTGGTGTAATCAGGCTGAGCTGAAGCCTGACTGTGGCAGAATTAAACACAGCATCAATCAAACAATCTGAGGGAGCCAGCACTGCATCCCACACACTCCCAACAGCTCTAGCACAATTCCAGAACCTTTAAAAAGGCCTAAACAGAATTCTTACTGCTTCCCAGTTTTTGTCTCAGTTTGCTAGAGATGGGAGTGGTCATTCTGCTCCACAGATGGAGGGCTTGGCATAGCAACAGGAAATTTCATTTTCTCAAAGCCTTTGCTCTTCAAATGATTTCCAATATAAATTAGGTGACAACTGAACAATACAAGGAAAGAAGGCTGGAGCAGCTGAAGTCAAATGTTCTCCTCAAGCACAGTAACTATTCTGGTGCTTTTTGTTTCTACCCTGAAATCTGCGACACACTTAGAATAAACCGAGAGATGCAAACTATGAATTTTTAAAAATACTTACTTAAGGAATTATTATTGACCCAGTGAGGAACTGAAGTGAGGTGAGAGTTCTCCACATATTGATCCTGTGTCTTCTCTTGGCTGTCTGGGGAGAGGAGAAAAAGAGAAAATTTGGGTTTATAGTTTTAAAGACCTGACCTGTATGCCATGGAAAGCTTCTGACTCTTGTGCGTACTTTGGGGTCACCATTCACAAAAAATTTAGTATCATGCTCTATTTGCATTGCATTCTCTCTCATGATAGAAATCACACCAAAAATACCCCACCAACTTCCAACAGGCTTTAAAACCACCACACCAAGTGAATTTTCCCATAAAACTTAAAACCAACAATAACTGCAATGTGCTTTAAGGTCCAACTGTTGGTTAACTTTGTATTTATGAGGTTAACTGTTTTATTTATGGGGTATTTACAGTGGTTGCACCCCAATCTTATTCCAGTGATCTTCCCAAATAAAACCTGCCCACAAATGCAGTCAGCCTGCACACAGAATGTCTGCAGCCATCTGCATCTGTGCTTTGCATACCAAGGATGTACCGACAGTGCTGATAATGCTTTTATTAAGCAAGTTTTAAAGTTTGAGTTTTCATATGTAATAAAACCCTTCATAGTGAAACCAGCATTGAAATCGAGCCCCACTGCCGTTTCTCTTAGGAGAGCCCTAAACCAAAGCTTTTTCTGGCTCTCTAACTACCTTTGATCATCTGTTCCAGGTGCTCCCACAGAATATCACCCACAAAGTCGGGGGCCAGTTCCAGGAAACGCTCTTTGCCCAGGTTGCACAAGTCTTGGCCACTCATAAGAAACTGATGGAAGTTCACATTTGCCAAGCTGAACTCATTGGTAGCCCATGAAAGCCACTGGCAAACTTGTTGCTCAGTCCACAGCCAGGGATCTGCAAGACAGGAAGGATCCAACATTTAGAGATAACTCCTGGCCTTATCAAATAATCTTCCTTAGAACGCAGTGAATTAAAAAAAAAAATGTAGCCAAGTTATTGAGTTCTGAATGAATTCAGAATGAATGTATTCTTGAATTTATAAAAAAAAAAAAACAACCCAAACAACTCAGTTCTCTCTTTTCTTTCTGCATTCACTTGCAACCAGAGATGTCCTCAGCTTGGCTTGACTCTCTCATGCTGCCAAAGCATGAGCTCTCCATGCACCCATTTTTAACCAGCAGCAAGTCTGGCCTTTCCAAGGCAAGCTGTGCCAGATTCACATAGGATCCATTCTTGTATTTCCTACTGACATCATCCTTTCCTTTTCAAAGAGCAGCTATTCAGCCTCCTCCTTAGCATTAAAAAAAAAAAAAATAAAAAAAAAGCGCTTATAAATAGCAAACACTTACTATTTGGGATACCCAGCCGACACTGTTCCTTTGTGAAACCACTGAAAGTATCTTTCAGGGCCTGACTCATCACAGCCTTGCTGCACGGGGTTAACAGAGGCAATTCACAGTTGTTCGACTCTGCAGGAAAAGAGAAGGGGTGCAGGGGAGGAAGAAGACACATTAACTTCAGGGCACTGAAAGGAGTGACTGGTTTTTGCTATCTAAAGAATTAAAAAAAAAAAAAAAAGCTAAAAAGTTGTTGTTTTAAAAACAGAGATCACCATGCTCTAAAATCTCTGTGCTACTCATTTGGTAAGATTGCATCACTAATTAGAGCTTTGCAGCTTTCCATGCATAGATCCTTATTTACTCTCAGCAGTTACATAAAGTGCCTTTGTTGCAGGGAAAACTTGATTATTTTTTTAAGGGAAATGAGACTGCTTATTCCTCTTTTACTACCTATAATTTGCCCTGAGACTTCTTTGCAACTCCAGACAATCTTTATTTAATTTGAGAGCTAAGTTAACTGACAGCAGGGCTGTGAAGAGCCAGCTTGCACCACTCAATACTGCATTTCAGACCTTATCACATCTCACCACCCAAGCACATGGTGCAATGGATTATTCCTTCATCTGGACCAAACAAGTGTGACTGGTAACAAGCTGGGGGTGAATAATGCACCAAACCACAAGGCTGGCACCATTATATGTCAGTAAAAATCACTGATCTACTTCTCTGACTTTCACATTTACAAGAAGATTCTATTTTAAGGATAAACTCAGCTCCCACTCAGCTTTTCTTATTGGTCAATTTTCCCCAGAAGATGCCTCATTTTATCACAGAATGATCTGGGCTGGAAGGGACCTTAAAGCCCATCCAGTGCCACCTCCTGCCATGGGCAGGGACACCTCCCACTGTCCCCGCTGCTCCTGGCAGGTTCCAAGTCAGCTCAGAGCTGTGCAGCTCTTCTTGCTTTCCCAGACTATCTACAGGCTGCACTTGTGCTTAACTTCTGCTTTTACCACACCCTTTTAATATCTGCAAGGACTTGCTTTGCTGACCAGAGCAGGCGACTGATTAGAATCACACTAGAACAAAGGAGCTGTGGTTTTCTGGGTTTGAGGGCTTGAGGTTTTTTTTCCTTTCCCTAAGGGGAGATAAAAGCAGCATCGGGTAAAATATCTACATTTTGATGTAGGGCACTCTTGGTGGGATACAGACCTACACACCCACAAAGAAAATAAAATAAAAAGCTTAAAACATCCCCACCTTGTTTTTTTTCAAGTAGGGAATAAAACATATTGAGATTTAACACCAGAGAACCAAAACAGCTTTCAGAATATTGGCACTTTAATTATGATTGAGATGTTGCAAATTTAAATACATAAAACTCTCTTTTTTTAAAGATTTTTTAATTCTTAGCTCTGCTTAAGCTCCTACTAAGGCTTCTTCCATGAAAAAACAGTCTATTAGGCTACTGCATCCCAGTTCCTTTTTCTTTTCAGTACAGAAAACAACAACTATCCACAAAGAAACTCACATGAATAAAACTAAGCATGTACACAGAAGTCTGTGTATTAAACCACATCTTTTGAGGGAAATTCACATTGCACACCCAGGAAATGTTAGTTAGACCCCAAAAATTTCTGCTCTGCTGACTGGACGAAGGAGCAAAGTGAGGATTTACCATAAGAAGTGGAATCAAATCCTGTTGGCACTTCCTGAAGCGTTTGGTCTTCGCTGAGTGAGAAAAAATATCCAGCAAAAAGCGAGTTTGAGCTGTCAAAGGTGTCAAACGCTGGCTGACGCTGCAAAGGAACAGAACAAACACAGAACCACGTAAGCATCTTGCTGCAGAGCTGTGAACTCCTCTGCTAGGAAGTGTCTGGGTTTGGTTTCCTAGATCTGGAGATCATGCACAACCACTATCTCAAATGAGCCAGCTTTGAAAAATAACCACAACGAGGGCACAGCTTGTGCTGAGTGAATAAAACCCACTGATAAGGGCCCTCGAGGTGGGGGATGTTCTGCAGCTTACAGTAAAGCCAAATCAAGATATTCTTAGCTTCTTCCTGTAATTGAGGCTTTTAACAATAGAGAATGTGTGTATTTATTTCCAGGTACATTTTAAAGAAATCCTCATTTCCTTTACCCTTTAAATTGATTATCCACTTGATGAGGATTTGATGGCAGATCAGTAAATCACGGGAAAACTGCCAGTGCAAAACCTACAGTAGATTTATGAATTTGTTTTTTTCTTCTAAAGGATAAAACTCATCTGAACCACATCACTCGAAGCTACACAGCCAGCTTTACAGGACTTGAGGAAGGATGTTGCAGCAACTTTTACACTTCTGCCTTACTGGATTTGCCAGCAATCACATTTTGAAGCCTTTCAAGTGCTCAGATGCTCAGTGAAACATTTCTACTTTCATTTCACAGCAAGGGATAAACAAGACTGATAAAAATGTTCCAGATAAAAGTGGATTCTGCTGATATACTGACATTCAAGAAATATTGTTATTTTTTGAAAACCTAACTCCTTTCAAACTTGACTTGAGCCAACTGTGTATGCCAGAAATACTGGTATGAAATTGCTAAATTCCCCCCACCCACTTTAGTCTTTGGGGGGCAGAAGGAATGTGAGCAGAGGAGGAAATAACTTCAAAAACAACTTATGAAACTTGCTTGTTAGTCACAGGGAAACCGTATCTGCAACCTCTTGAGGCAAAGATGGATAAAAGTTGCCACTGAGACTTTTCTCAAGGCACCTGAGGATAGAGCATTGCTCTGGAAAGCTACAGCTGGCTCATGGCAGCTCCTGCCCTTCAAGCAGCTGGAGACAAAGGCAACTTGCAAATGTTTATTTGGTTTAGACAAACACTGATTTGCCAGTTTGTGCCAAAGGAGTGGATTTAGCTGAGGACAAGGCAAGGATTTTTCAGGGCAGTATTCACGTGCAATGCAAAAAGCAACCTAAACTATGCTCCTGGAACAGCAAATTAGGATTAATTTTCCTTCACATTACCTAACTTTTAATGTAAAAATCCTCTGGCCATCAAGGACAAATTGTGGACCTCTGTTTCAGGTACTCCCCAAATCAAAGCCAGCCCTTGGAAATGGATCATGTGTGAATAAAACAAATTAATAACAGCTGCCAAATTTGCTGGTAAAAGATTCTTTATACATTACTAGATAAAAGCTCTGACTCATCTCCAGCACCTAAAAGAAAGGGCAAGTTCTTTCAACACAATCTGGAAACTCCTGCATTTTGTGTAAATGGCTGACCCTTCTCCTGAGTCACTGGAAAAAATGCTGTGGCATGTGAATGAGTAAAATCCATACCGTGCTAGTTTCATATTTCAAAAGGGAGAAAATTAATGTGCAAGCATGTTCTTCATTTAATAGTAGTAAAAGAGGATAAACACTATGCAGAATGAATTCTGCCCGTCCTATCAGTTTCACAACTACTTTGTTGGGCTTTTCAATACATGCAATTATTGCAGAACGAAATAAAATGGAATGTGAACAGCTACAGCATAGCAGAACACAAATCTCTGACTTCATTCTGTGACAACTGAACACTCAGAGCAACCACTGTGTTAAGAGCACACAGATCTCTTGGGGACCTCTTGGATTTTCTTGTGAAGCAAAAAAAGGTTAAGAGGGGACATAAAGCATCAGAGCAGTCAGCATCCCAGAGCTGATTCTTCAAAGCATGGCCATTCCTCAAAGCTAATGAGAGCAGAAAGGGTCTCCCTATCCTTTACTTGGTTTACATTAATCAATGCTGTGTAAAAAATTGATTCGGGGATTAAAAGGCAACTTGCATTAATGGGGAGGGGGGAAAGCCCTTTAAGACTGAGCCTTTACAGTCTGCTGACCTCAGTTTCTAAATGCCTTTCAAAACAAGGTAACAGACACGGTCTGTCTAAAGATAAAATAAATTGAATGATTTTTGGCGTTATTACAGTGTATTTGACTTCCATTAATAACAGTTATAGGTGAAGAACCAATTTTTAATCCAAACAAGGTTCAGGTTCAGGAACCTGACCAGTTCTATCAGGACAGGCCTCTGCCAGCCTCATCAAATTAATGATACAAACCACTCCTGCTGCCCATCCTTTAACCTTTAGTTTGGCAGAAGTTCCAGCAACACCAGGAAATTTTAGCTCAGTTCTTGTCTACCCCTTTTAAATCCTTAGGATTTAGGGAATGGAGAGAGGGAGCATTCTTAGATTTGCACCTTCCTATTTCAGTCCTGCTTTTCACATCTCTGTGGAACTCAGTGGGAATACTCTGGCAGAAGATTAGAGGGGAGCAATTAAAGCTGTGCTCACTTGGCTTGTGCCATTCCTGTTCTAGCACTGCAGGAACACAACAGGAGCTCTGGCTGGGGGCTGCCCCAGCTGGGTTTGGGAGGTGACAGCTCCAGGGTACTCACCTTGAGCATTCCTCTGTACATGTTGGACACGGGAGCTACTTGATCCATGTTCCTGACCCCAAAGTCACTCATCTGGAAAAGGAGAGGTTCCCATTAGCACCACAGCCAAAGGAGGAGGAAGCAGATGTTACCAGATGTGCCCGACTGCTCTGGCTCAGGGCATGGAGCAGCTCTGGCAGCGAGGTGCAGGGAAAGCTTTTCCAACATCCCAACCACACAGGGCAGCTCCCACCTTGTTTTTCAGCTGGGAGAGCTTCCACAGAATTTGTGTTTGCCTGCAAAGCCCACAGAAACCCCCTGCCCACCCAGTACCTGTCTCTCTGGGGTATCTTCCAGCTTTTCACCCATTATCTTAGGTGATCGGTTTTGTGTTATTTTTGCTTGCTCTGTGCCCTCCCACAGGCCATGATTCACTTCAGACTTTGGCTTTCAGAGGAAGAGGAGTGACAGAGTGGCACCTTCACCTCCTGCATTCACCCCTTCATGAATAATCAGAAAAGCCAATTCCCAGTGCTCCCAACCTCCTGCCTTGACTACTTTTACTCCAAACCACATTATCTTGTACATTTTCTAAACACAGGATTAATGTATTTATACAGCTTTAGAGGCCTTAAGTTTTAATGGAAAAGGGGTTTATGCAGTAAAATACCCTTTTTAAAGGGCTGATAATGGGGGCACTATCAATATGTTCATGCCACTGAAGTCAAACCTTTATCATATTGTCTTTATTACCAGGAACAGTTGTGTGAGGCCTGTGTGACTTTTCTCCTATATATCACTTAAGGAGAAGATTGATAAGATTAATATCCAATGGGAAAGATCAAACATAAGGAATAAAGCCAGTTTTATGGCCATTGTTCAGGTTTATCATGATGCTGCAACTCAGGTGTCAGTGAACTATACCTTATCAAGCCACACTCTTAATTTTCCTCCCCTTTTTTCACAGCATTGGGCTGAATTCCCTTGCCCCACAGCAACTGCCTGAAAATGTGCACTTGTACTTAAATAGCCACAGAGGACACTATCAAGATTTCCACAAAACTGTGATCACTTATTACAAGCCAAATCTATCACTTACCATGTTATCACAAGGAAAAAAACATTCACTTTAAAATTCAGAAAAAAAATCGTAAATTAGGATCTTAACAAAATAAGCCCAGCTTGTTGAAAATGGCAACACATTCAAAAGCCGTCCATACAAACAGAGAGGAAAATAAAAACATCCAACAGCCAAAGACAAGGAACCCTTTCATCCTCTTAAATAGCTGATCACTTAAAAATAAAACTAAAAAAAATAGCAAGAGTCTTTAACATGAAAGGCCTATTTCAACTTGACTGGGCCTTATAATTGAAACAAAATAAATCAACTGACACTGAAAAGAATATTCATTAAGGTTACTCAAAAAGTGCAATCTACTGAATGTTTTTTACCTCAAACAGCACGTACAAATATTTGATCTAAATTACACATCTCATTGAGCAGCAAAGAATTTCACACAGCGTGAGTCTCACTCAGCAAGCATCCTAATCTGTTCATTAAATTTGCCACAGTTTAAACAACTGTTTAGCCTTGCATTTAGCTGGGCTTTTTAAAAAGTATATGGCAATTTCCAACACCCTTTGTTTTGCCATTGAATTCTGCCCTGGTGGCCAGGGATAAGTGGCTTGGGGATTAGAGTATTTGTGAAAATATTGTATGTATATTCTGTAAATTGAGGTCTGATCCCTGGTTAGGAGTACTAATAAGATTCCTGGCACTCGTGTGCAATTCTGACCTCTCCACAAATCCTGTTAGGCACTTCCCCATCCACTAAAAGGGCTGGGATTCTCTCCTTCCTGTCCTTTTTTTTTTTTTTCTGTTTCTTTAGAGACGTTTAGGGCCCTAAGACAAAAGGTTTATACCAAGTGTTGATTACACGGCATTGCTCATTAACCCAAGCCCCCATTTCTCCATGCTGGGTTTGTTCCGAAGGAAATCTTTGGGAAAAACGAGACACCGAGCTCCGGCTGAAAAACACATGGAGATCCTCAGCATGTTTTGCAACACTCCAGCTTTCTTCCTCCAGCCGAATATCTCCGGGAGAGGAATTTCTATATCCTCCGCTCATCCCACATCAGCTCTCTCCCCATCTGCAGCACAAATTTCCAGCCCTGACATACAAAACCCTTACGGACAGAGCTGGAAAGGCAACGTGGATGGGCACAGAGGGTTAAACCTGGCTTTCTGCTGGACTTAGCAAGCTGCTGGTTGAAGTTCAGAAAAGCTCAACACGGTGTGACTGGGCCTCACCTCCAACTCCTCCACTAATGCTGATGACTGCGACTTGCCAGCTATAATTGGTTTAACTGGCAGGACACCTTCCTCAACACCCCCGCATAGCTGAGTGGGTGAACCAGAACAGGGTCAACAGGATCAGGCACTTATTAACTAATTCTCCTGAATTCTGATCGCCTTCCTTCCAGCAGCAGCCAGGTGCCTGCGCACAGCTGGGCACAGCTGGGCAGCATCCACATGGAGAAGGGAAGCGCGCTGGCGTCCGCGATGGGTCTGATGTCCCTCCACTGTTATCCCTCCTTGGTTTTTGGGGGGGATTTTTTTTAGGGAAGAGAGCGGCCGTGGGGGATATGATGCCTGGTTGTTGTTTTTCTTTTAAGCGGCATTTTTTTTTCAGGGGGGAACAAGCAGCCTCCTTGGGAAGAGGGTAGGAGAGAACGGCGTGCCCCGCGCAGCCCCGCCGGGAGCCAGCCCGGCTGCTCACACACATGACACACGCTTCGCCCACGGAGAAAAAACTTCGGTGGGCAGATCACACAGCCCAGCGTTCCTTTCTTTTTTTTTTTTTTTTAAAGTCCTAACCAAATCCCATTAACCCCTTCCTGCCACAGCATCCCCCGGGGGATGATCCCCCGGCCGCCCTCCTCCGAGGCTGATCGGGGCTGTGATCGCCATCCCCGAGAGGAGAGCAGCAGCAGCCAGGCGGGCTCCCGGAGCACCGGGAGCCTTTTCCCCCTTTCCCCCGCTCCATCCCCCGCCTCACCTGGCCCCGCTGCCGGCGCTCCTGCGCTCCCTCCCCGGCGGCGTCCAAGGGATCGATGGAGGCGCCGCTGCCTCCGGGCGAGCCAAAATATCCTCGATGCGGCCAACAACAACAACACCACCAACAGCAGCAGCAGCAGCGCTGGTCCCGGCGGAGAATCCCGGCCGAAGCAGGGGCACAGGAGGGGCGGGATGCGGCGGGGAAGGCAGGCGGGTACCCGCGGCTGCCGGCCCGCGGGGATGCTGCGGGGATGCCGCGCTGGTTCCGCGCTGGTTCCGCGCTGGTTCCGCCGCCTCCGGGCTCCGCTCCGCGTTGTGCCGCCTGCCCGCCCTCGCAGGAGCTCTTAGCGGGCGGGGGGAGGCGGCCGGGCCCGCCTCCATCAAGCCCGGCCCCTCCGCCTGTTGTCATCGCTGGTACCCGCACAGCCGCGCTCCGCCGGCGCCGCGGATGCCCGGAGCGGCTCGCGGGGAACAAAACCTCTGGTTTATGTCTTTCCGAGAGATGGATGTTGAGGGTTCTTTTTTTTATTTTAATTTTAATTTATTTTTTATTCTAATTCTAATTTTAGTTGTAATTTTAATTTTAATTTTAATTTTCATTTTAATTTTAATTCTAATTCTATTTCTATTTCTAATTCTAATTTTATTATAATTCTATTTTATTTTTATTTTTATTTTTATTTTTATTTTTATTTTTATTTTTATTTTTATTTTTATTTTTATTTTTATTTTTATTTTTATTTTATTTCTAATTCTATTTCTATTTCTAATTCTAATTCTATTTCTAATTCTAATTCTATTTCTAATTCTAATTTTAATTCTAATTTTAATTCCAATTCTAATTCTAATTCTAATTCTAATTGTAATTTCCTCCTTTTTTTTTTTTTATTTTGTTTCCTCCTTTCCCCACCACTATGCCTGAGATAATTCATGCTGGATGAATTATCTCATGTTTCATTCTTTTTTTTTTTTTTTAAGTAATGCGTCTCGACGAGATGGGAGAGATTAGGAGAGTTAAGCCCTAAAATTGCAAATGGAAATTACGTTTGTTTGGACATCGGGATGAATTTCTTTACAGAAAGGCTGATAAAGGCATTGGAACTGCCCAGGGAGATGGTGGAGTCACCATCCCTGGAAGTGTTCAAGGAGCATAGGCACTCGCTGCCATGCTTTGGTGCACGGTCAAAAGCTGCACTCGATGCTCTCAAATAATCTTTTCCAACATCATTTTGTGATTTTTCCTAAGTAAACTGCGACACTCGGTGCTGTGGAAGTTCAGTGATTATGTCATGTCGCACCTTCCGCAATTATTTTGGGGAGTTCTTAATATAAAACACGAGGAAGCTGCAGCCTGCGAATGGCAGATCCTGACGCTGCTGCCTGTGAAACAGAGTTGGCGTTCCTCACACCTTGGGGGAAAAAATTTTGGTGCCCCTTGCAAAGTTGCAAGGAGCTCAGTGACACCAAAATGTAAAGTTGCTTTCTGCTGAATTTATTTTATCGAAATGAGCTCCCCCTGAGATTTTGTGGACAGGCAGGCAGGCCTGGGTGGCTTTTCTTAGGTTGGAGCCACCTAACTTGCCTGAGTCTCTTGCCACAACACCTAAAAATGATTTATAATAATATTAAAGACTTTGTGTGCCTTCAGACTAGGGACCCATGTGCCCTTCCCAGCTGCCCAGCCTGGCTGGCCATTGGAACCATCCTTTCTTCTTGCTTCCCCCTTGACTTCCCTGGATTTCCAGTGAACACCAGGGATCCAAATTGCACTTAGAATCAAGCTTGCTGTTACACCTTGCTTTATTTAAAGTCTCACTTCAAATTAGCACTTGTGTCATAGGGTTGTAACTTTTCTTAAAATAAGAGCCCACTAACTGCTGTTTCTCAGCTCCTCACCAGATTTCAGCTGATCCTCTGCCTTTGCCTGTGAATATTTTTTGCCATTAAAAAGCCACAGTTTCTTTGGCCTTGCTGGTGCAGTTGTCAGGGCTCCCTCCTGTATCTTCCAGCTATTTTTGGCTGCAGCAAAAGCTGGATTTTTTTTTTCAGTGTTTCTTTCAAACTCTTCAGAAAACTTTCTCCTTAGTAAAGCAGGATATATTTCATCCCTTAGGGTCAAATGTTACCGGGAAAATTGTGACAGTCTACTTTGAGAGGCTTAAAGAAGTGTCTTGATTATGCCAATGACATTTCTTACTCCAGGAGAGCCCTGATCTAATAAGGCAACATCTGCTATAATCCTAGGGGAAACCATTAAAAACTGTATGTCAGCTGCATAGCAATTTTAATTATAACACTGACAAAAACAATTATGACACCCTTTTTATAGGGGAAACATCTGTCAGAAAGATAAGATGAAAGACTGGGAGTTATTTATTTCTTGCTAAATTAACATTCTGGGACCCAGAGCAAAATTATTAACCTGGCCATATTTTGCTCTATTGAAAGGTCTTAATTTTAGAGCAGTTCTTCTTATGTAAGAGTATTTAAAATCATTAAATTTTGTTTATTGTTAGTATAGAAATAGTCTTCATTAGAAGTGGTTTGTGCTTAGTGGGCTGGATGATGTATGAGGAGGGGCTGGGGGAGCTGGGTTTCATTAGCTTGGAGAAAAGCAGGCTAATGGGAAATCTCATTGCTAATCTCAACTCCTTAATGGGAGGTTGGAGCAAAGGGAGAGCCAGGCTCCTCTCCAGACGTGCACAGTGGCAGCAGGGAAAATGCCAACTCGATATTTGGGAATGAATATTCCCAATGTGAGTGAAAGCTTTGTCTGGGGGAGTCTCTGATCTGGAGTGGCCAAAGCCCAGAGCAAGCCCAGCAGGTCAGAGCAGAGAGCTGAAACTTTCCTCTCCAGCCCAAGTTCCTCTTTAATTCTGTGTCCTCTCTGCATGGCTCATTTCCAAAATGTCACATCATTAACTTAGGGAGTCAAAGGAAAAATAGGTTTGGCTTGGTTTTTGTTTTGTGCCCGTGTGCTTGGTTCTATTTTAGGAATTGTCCCTCCTCCTCACAATTTTCTGTGGTTTTATTCTTGCATGTGTTGGTACTCCGTGAGCCAGAGACAAAGGTGGTGGTGGGGGGGGGAGTTATGTATCAATTTAAGGATAATTGAATCAGCATCTAGCTGAAAACTTCTGAGATTTTTTTTTTTCTGGTTTTTTGGTGGTTTTTTTTTTGTAGAACTGAGGGTAAACTAGCTGTGGTGCTCAAGAGTGAAGTAGCTATAAAGGGAAAATGAAAGAAAACTGATAAAGAATAAAGAAAAAAGCATTGCAAAGTTCTCTTTTCTGTGGTAATCTACATAGGTAAGACTTTTTTTAGTCCTTCTTGATCATAATTTTTTTGTTTGAATGAGGACCTCTGCTAAAAGTGAGTGCTAAGGAGTTATTTCTGTTTTTTTTTTTCTAACTGCCTTTCTCTGCAACAATGCCTCAGAGTTACTTTCCTGTAGTGCATTAAAGTAAAGGAACCAGTTAGATTTTTTGGAAGTACCTGGCAATGGATGGCTGTCCAAGGGGATTATTTGACCCCATATTTCTGACCTGAGCAGCTGCAGGGCCGAGCCCACTGGGCAGCAGCTGATGGTCAGGGCATCCCAGGCAAGGGCTGTCTGCATGTTCTCACTGGGGACAACAAAGAGGGGGAATAAGATCCTAAAAATGCCGAGGTTTGGAGCGTGGAGGGGGAATGTGAGGAGGCAGGTATGTGGCTGGGCTGCATTGCAGCTCCCGAGCAGCTGTGACTTACTCCTCCAGAATTCCTCTTGCGCCACAGGGGCAGAGGACACACAGGGCAGTGAAAATCCCTGTCGTGCTGTCCCTCATCTGCATGTTGGCTCAGCTCCTCTGCCTGGGGAGGTTTGGGGTGCACACGTGTTCTTTCTGCTCCTCCTCCTCCTCTTCTTCCTCCTTCACCTGGAGCAGCCCTTTGCTGGGAGTTCCAAAAATGTTTGGTGGGTTCCTGTGGTCCAGAAGAGCCCTGCACCTCCTCCCACTGCTCCTGGCATCCCTGCAGCACCAGGGATGCCTCCTCCAGAGTGAGTTTGCATTCAGCAGCGTAAATAAACAGAGCCATCCTGAATTTGAAAGGAAAGGCTGTATATTTGTGCCCCTAAAAAGACAATTAACAATGAAGCTCCAGTGGCGGCTGTAAGTTCACAGAGTAAAGGGTCTCAGGAAATAACATCTTTGAAAAATAAAGACTCAGCTCTCTCAGCTTGAAATAGCAACTTCAAACAAGGCACTGTTATGGTTGAAACAAAGGATGAAACTCATTTACTCTGCCATTCAAACTCAACTGAAACAAAATATTTATACAGGTTTGGAGGGGTGGGGGGAAAATGGGGAATGTCGAATGGCTTTCCACTCAGACATAAATTGTTCACAGCTAAAATAAAACACGTCTGGCTGTGCCCACTGGTGTTTGGTGCACAAAGTGTGAGCAAGGTAATTTCTGCGAAGGCATCGCAGTGAGTCACAAAGTGCAGTGAGTTATTTGTGTGTGTGTGTGTGTGTGTCATTACGCTGAGCACATGCAAACCAACACGGCTAATTACTGCCCAGAAAAAAATAAATAAATACTGTGTCAAAGTTTTCAAAGTTTGAGCAGCAGCAGATATTGCTACATTTTGCCTTTAAAGTTTCACCTTCATAACTCTCAAAGAGGTCAGGTAAACTCTCATCTGCATAAAGTATAAAAATTTTAAGTGGTGATGCATCTGTTTCTTGGTGTTTTTTTTAATTAAGTGAAAATGTTGCAGGCATACCTCAAATAATGTTGCCAGTGGACAGGAGAGATGCCTAACACATGAACTGTGTGATGATTGAAAAACCAAAACCTTTACCTTTCATACCAAAACAGAAGATTAGTTGTTAAACTAGCTAGTGCTTGAGAGATTGCTCATACCATTTTGGGTGTATTTAATTCATTTCATGCAGTCTGAGGCATAAAACAAAAAGCACATGTTAATATTTTAAGGCCAAGTGTATTCAGAAACAACAGATCTTAATAATTGCTCTTGGATGACTGGGTTCAAAAAAGTATGTTTGAGCTTCCTTTTGCAGCACAACTTTTTCTTTTATTCCCTGCTGGTTTCATTTAAGAATTGCTTTGCTTGTGCACAAGCTTGTGATTCTCCTGGTCAGCTCACTAATCACTGTGATGTGCCCTTCAGAGCAGTGAGGGCAGGAATTCATCTTGCAGGGTATGGGCCCCTCTTTTCTTTCCCCCTCACCAAAAAGTAGAGGAGTTTGGCATCGTTGTTCCGTGGCTGCAAAAGTTGCTGTTTCAAAACTTTGCCTTAGCCCTAGGTGTGTAGATAATGATGTTCACAGCACAGAGTGTGAGAGCCTGTGGCTTGGAGCTCTGTCACTTGTGCTTCTCTAAGTGGGAACTGTCCCTGTGAGCACTGGGAATATTTTTGGAACCGTGAC